CAGGGTTGGGGGTTGGTGGGGAGACAGGCGCCTCGGGGAGGGACTCAGAAGGGTCTCTGGCCACACCCCAGGCCTGCAGGGCTCCACTGGAGAGAGGTGAGGCACAGACAGGGCTGCAGGCTCGGCGAGGGTTGCTGGCTGCCTGGAAGGTCTGGTTCAGGAATCCTGATGATAAATTAATTCCCTTCTTAGAAAACAAAGATGCATACAAAGTGCCTGCATTATACGTGAGAAAATATGGGGAGGAAACCCTGGGCAGGAGCGATGGCCTCAGAATCCCCCAGGTCTGGAATCAAAGGTGTGGGAGCCTCCAGTTCCATGGGAAACTTCCAGAAACTTTTCCACTTCTCAGAACCTTGAGTTTGGCACAGCTCTGCTGCAGAAGGGCGAGGGCTGTGGCTGAGGAGAGGATCCAGCACAAGGGTTGTTCGGGTTCCACCTGTTTGTGGGGCCGGCTCTAGGTGAGAGGCTGCCAGAGGATCTTGTGGGGGAAGAGGTTTAAAGAGCTGGTCTCCAGCCCCAACTGTGTGGGATTCTTGGCACAAAAAGCCATGGATGCCTCTGAGGAACAGTCACCTCAGCCCCTCACAAAGGGAAAAAAACGATCCATGGAGCAGTTGGGCTGGCCCCACGTGGGTCTCAGGGTAGGTAGGTGCTGTGCAGCTCGGGTGGGGGCTTTGTAGGAACAGCGGTGTCAGGGTGGGCTCGCCCTGTTCCATGAGGACATCTCTGCCCCAAGAAGCTGCGGGACTGGCTGCTGCAGAAAGTACAACCACTAAGAGAGCGCAAAGGAATAAATATGTGTGTGTGCTACATATGTATTTGTAGAACATCCGCCTAGGGCACACGACCACACCCATCGGCCTTCCCAGGGTGGGCCACATGAGCTCAGCAGGAACGTGGGCCAATTCCCCCGGGCCCAGAGTCTGGCTGCCACATCGACATGGGGTTTGGCATCTCTTTTATGCACAGTGGGGTCTTCCAAGTCACCATCCGCCTGCTCCAGGTCTGGATGTCAAGGTGGGATCCCAAGGGTGTGCCTGAAGGGCTCTCCTCACTTTTGAAGTGACCAAGATGCCCAAACCTTCAGAGGACGTTTCCAGCAGCTCTCAGAATGCTCAGAAAGGACTTGCTTTTCAAGCAGGTCCACCCAGGGTCCATCTCCTTCCCCATCAGGGTCTCTTGGTTGCCAACCCCCTCCCAAGTGCACACCTTATGTGTCATTACCTGTGACTTTTCCAAGACACTGTAGGAACATGAGGACCTGCGGTGCCACCCACCTGGGAACTCGGCAGAGAGGCGCATGTGGCCGGGCAGGTGTGTAGTCGTGCTCACTTGTTCCCTGGCCGGCGCGCCCATCCCCCCTCTTGAAGTGGGGGCTGAGCCCCCCCAGGGGTTTGGGTTTGGCACAGGATGGGCCCCATGAAGCCGAGGGGCCAAGTGGCAGGTGGTGTCCTGCTCTGGAGTGCATTGTCCCGCAGCAGCAGGGCAGGTGGCAGAAGCTCCCCCAGGTCATTCATGAAAGCACCCCGCAGAGGCCGAGGGCACATGGGAGCTCTGTGCCCATCAGGGCGAAGCAGGGCGGCGACTGTACTGTACGCGGTAGCGGGTGACAGGCAGGCCGTGCACGTGCGCTGTCTCGCAGAGCGTCTTGCAGGGCACCATGTCCTCGTCCTCCTCGCCCATCAGCCAGTCCTGCACCAGGCTGGCTGCCTCCACCGTCACATTGTCCTCCAGCCAGCGGCCGTGCCACTCCTCGAAGTGCTGGTGGTGGCGCAGCAGCACCAGGGGCTGCACCTGCAGGGGGTGGTTGGGAGGTTGAGGCATCAGTGGAGTTCAGGCACCCCCTGGACGGTGAGGGCTGAACCCAGGGTCCCCAGGACTCCAGCTGAGGGGAGTCAAGGCAGCCCAGGCCCCCTAGGATGTGGCAGGGGCTGGCACCTGCTTGGCCCGGCAGAGGGCCCCGCGGCGGTACACGCAGTCCTCGGAGTTGACGACGAACACCATCTTGTGGGTGCCAAGCTTGAAGCGGCAGTCCACGTCGCAGGCACTCTCTACACCGACGAGCCGCTTCCAGGAGCTCCTGGCCTCGCCGCGCAGGGCCCGCGCCTGCGCACACTGCCGGCGGCGGAGCCTCTTGAGGTTTCTGGGGGCAAGAGGAGGCAGTGGGCACTGGCTCTCCGCCTCCAGTGTCAAAGGCCCAAGAGGAAGCAGAGTCTGAAGACTAGGAAACCCTGTGGCCCGTGAACATCGCAAGATGGGCAACCTCCCAGGGCAGGGGGACGCCAACTGCAGCAACGAGAACCGCCACCCGACTCTGAATACCCGACACTGCCAGCCCAACCCAGCCTCAGGTACTTGGGGCTTTGGCCCGCCCACCTCTGGCTCCTCCTGCCAATTCCAGGAGCTTCTCCCTCCAGGCCATGGAAGCCCAGGGCCAGGTGCTCACACTACCATCCACTCCCCCTGGGGTCTTGGCTGGCCCCTCTACCCCCTGGCGGTTTGGGGGGAGCCCCACAACGGGGAGGGGCCTCTGTCCTGGGGCCCCCCTTCATGCTGCCCCATCCTGGGACGACTGCTCACTCCAGAGCCTCAAGAGGGCAGGGCCACTCCTCAGTACTCATCAGGTGTGCAGTAACTGCTCCCAGATGGAGAACACAACAGTTGTCCAGCCTCAATGATGGTCAACTTGGCAGTGGGGGGCACTACATAAGGAGCCCTGCCTGAGCTGAGGGGGTCCTCTCACCTCTGCAGGAACACGGGTTTCAGGAGGAAGCCCTCAGTGGGTGAGCTGGATGCGCCCTCCGTCCCCACGTACTGCTCCACGTACCGAGCCAGGTGCTGCAGGTGGGAGAGACACGGCCGGTGACTCCCCCACAACCAGAGCTCAGGAGCTCCTGGGAGATTTGTGCCCCCACCCCCAAAGCATGAGCAAGGAAGCAACTGCTGAGGATCCTGATCTGTGATGGAATCCACCAAATCCAGCTACGGCGGGATATGCACAGCCAGGCCACAGTCCAGACACTCATGGAATCAGCACTTCATGCTTAGATGGATACACCCAGGCTGGGTAATGACTACTGTTTGTCACGTGATAACTTCACACAGGGTTTCCCAGGGGATGGGGCCTCCTCACACAGAGGGTGGGTTCCAGGCTTGGGGGGGCGTTGGCATGGCCTGCAGTGTCCCTTTCATCTGCTCACCACCCAGACTCAAGCTAAATAAGACCACATTTCCTGGAAACTTCTAGAAAACGGGATCGCAACCCTCGGTGTTGCCCCCGCGCCTCGCTCAGCCAGTGAGCGGGAACCGGTCTGTATGTGGGATCCGAACCCTCGACGGGAGCGCCGCCGCGCTTCCCAAGCGGCGCACAAGCGCAGTGCGCCACCGGGCCGGCCCATTTGCTTTTGAAAGTGTTTCCTGTGTGGGGAGTCCTGTGGCCCGAGAGTCCTGGGCGGGGAGGGAGATGGGGGAGGCTGTGAGGGGGTAGGCGGCAGGGGGAGCCCTGGCTGTCGTAGGGGGCTTGGGGCTCACTAGGCTTGCACCCAGTGGCTGGCACCCCAGACATAAGGCCACCTTTTGGCTTTCCCAAATAGAAAGCTCCTGCGCAGACACGCTGTTCTAGCTCCTGCTTCACAGATCCCAGGCACTTCAGTTAAAGACAAAAAGGCAGCAGCAGAACTCATATTTTCGATGTATATTTTACTTATTTGTCTATAGACTGGCTCCAAGGAGAGCTGAACACATAGAGAGACCAACCACCCTGGTTTGTCCTGGACTGATGGTGCTCTCAGCACATGGGGATTTTTGGTGCTGAGACCTGAATGTCTCGGGGAAGTTGGACTGAGCTGATCGCTGCTATGGGATCAATGCTGTCCCCCAGATAGACATGTCCAAGTCCTAACCTCTGGTATGTATAAAAGTGACCTTATTTGGAAATAGAGTCTTTGCAGATGTGATTAGTTAAGATGAGGTCATCATGCAGTAGGGTGGGCCCTAAATCCAATGACTGGTGTCCTTGTGAGAGAAAGGAAAACACACATGCACAGCGAGATGGCCACACAGAGACAGGCAGGCATTGGAGTGATGCGGCCACAAGCACAGGAACTCCTGGAGCCCCAGAAGCTGTAGGCCAGAAAGGATCCTCCCCTAGAGGCTTTAGAGGGTGTAGTGGACTGGATTATGTCCCCCCAAAACTCACTGAAACTTGAACTGTGTCCCCCAAGTTTTATGTATTAGAAACTTAGCCCCCACTGCAACTGTTAAGAGGGTGGGAAATCCTATTACAGTGATTGAAAGGTGGAGCCTTGAAGAGATGATTGGATCATAGGACTGTGCAGCAGTGAATGGATTAATAATGGTGGTCAGGGGCGTGGTTCTGAGGGCTTCAAAAGGAGAGAGAAGAGAGTCTGCCTCTCTCTCTTGCTCTCTCTGCTTCCACCGTCTTGCAATATGAGACCCCTAGTTCATGTCGCCACCACCAAGACCCTCACCAGCTGTGTTCCCTGGACTTTGGACTTCTCAGCCTAAGAAACTGTAAGCAATAAATGTTGTTTTTCTTTATAACTCACCCAGTTCCAGGTATTCTGTTATGGCAACAAAAATGGACTAATACAGAGGAAGTATGGCCCCATCAACATCTTGATTTGGTACTTCTGGCCTCCTATTATTTGAAGCCAACTGGTTTGTGGCCATTTGTTGTGGCACCCCAGGGAATGAATATAGTCACCAAGCTAGTAAACACACACAACTGGACCTGCCGCAGGTGATGGGGAGGGAAAGACACACATGAGCTGCAGACGGAAGGAAGGAAGGGGGGTCATGAGGGTCAGTCAAGGATCCCCAGGTGTCTTTGTGCCTGCCCTGGGGACACCTGCGAGTCTGTGTTTAACTGTCACCTGGGTGTGGAAACCTCTGCACCAGCAGAATGTGTGACTTGGAGCCTGGGCCATGTGGATAGTCTCCTGGTGATAAGGGATCAGCACCCCAGCCCAGAGTGGAGACACTGGGAGTGCAGGGATCACACACGGAGGGGATGCCCTGGAGAGGGAGCCAGGGCCCAGGGGAAGGTGGCCTGGCTCTCATCCTGCCTCCTGCCCTGGGACACACCCTGCTGGCTCCTGAGGAGTCATCTGGTATGGGGAGGGAGGTGACTCCCCTCCTAGAGAGTGCAACTTCACAGCATGGTCTGTGCTTGGCTGGCTTGTCCATGGGGCTCTCGCAGTGGGAGCCACTGCCTGTGGCATGCACACAGCGTGGGCTGCAGGGCTGAGTTCCTCACCTGGACCTCCACAGGGTCTTCTGTCTGGGCCTCCTCGGTATCCAGGAGCTCGATGGTCATGATCACCTGCCCTTTGCGCTGGAGAAACATCACCTGGGGAAGGGGGGAGGAGACTGACAGCTGGAACAGCCTGGGCTGGCAAAGGACAAGTTCACAAGGACAGCAGCAACCTGCCTTTGCCATCCTGCAAGGCCTGGATGCTTCCTTGCAGGACTGAGGGACCTCACAGGTTCTGCAGTGGCCTGCTGAGGTCTCGAGGCTCAGTAAATAAAGCACGTGGCATCCTGGGCCACCGAGAAGCCGAGCAGAGTGCAGCCCAGGCCCACTCCAGAGCCAAGCACAAGTGGCCACACCGTCACCCCCAGCCCATCACCCCACCACCCCCCTCCCCAGTCCAGTGCATGGCCAAGATGCCCGCCTCGCACCTTGAAGCAGTTCTCGTCAGCCATGCGCCGCTCGGCCTTCCACTGGTAGCTGGTCTCCCTGGCAGCACGGACACAGCGGGAGGACAGGTTGCCACCAGCGGCCCCGCGCTTCTTCTCATTCAGATAGAGCTCCACCACCTTCAGGCAGACGTCATCGCTCACCAGGTGGTGCAGCTGGTGGGGAGGGAGAGCAGGTGGGTGCCACCACCCCATCTCCTGCCAGAGCCCCTGCCTCATCCAAAGAGGAAGTTGGCAAAGGCCAGAAACATGTCACTATGGAGAAGTCCATGATATGGGGATGAAGATCAGGGTCCTGACGGGCTGCACAGTGTGACCACAGTGCTGTGTGTGGACCAGGCCAAGACCAGACCAGACCAGACCCAGAGCAGACCAGAACCCAACCAGACCAAGGCAGACCAGACCAGGCTACAACTAGAACACACCAAGCCAGACCAGACCAAATCCAGACTAAAACCAGATCACACAGGACTACACTGAACCAGGACACACCAGCAAACCCTGTGTATGAGAAACACAGAAAAGACATGGAAGAAATGTGCAAATAAGAATAGTAATCATCTAAAAGTGGTGTGACTGCAGGTGGCTGTTTCTCCCTAGATGTTCAGCTGTAAACACACCTGAATCCCTTTTATCCTTACGTTCACAAAGAAGGAAGCAATGGACACAGCAGGGGCCTGGGTGAGTTAGGCCTCCGCCATACACGGGCCCTACACAGGTGAACACACACCTTGGGGGCTACTACAAGCGTCTTCCCCAAGTGTCACTTTGTGGAACAAATATGTGACATCTGGACATGCACTGGTCTTGTGATGCCTGACACACAGCAAGTACCCAATAAATACTGGCTGCTACTACTAAAAAACAGAAACGCTAACTTTAAAAAACTGAGGTAAACAGAACAAAACAAAAAAAACAAAAAAGTTCAGACAGATCTTGCCAGATGACAAATGTCAGTGTGAACGGGACCATGGTGGGTCCTGGCCCAGGGGTGGCTGATGGGGTTTGGTGTAGCCACTGCAAGGCAGAGAGAGGCCCCGACTCTGACTCCACCTAAACAGCTCCACTTTGGTTGCTTTTTTTGTTTTTCTTTTTAACAGGTTCTAGGAAATATGTTAGTGGAAAGGGAGATTTTATTTTTAAAGCATTAAAACAAAGTGCCTGATCTGGCCCAAACACCTGGTGCTACAAAAGAGGCTGCTGTCCCTGGAGCTGTGTTCATTGGGGATGCCCCCCCCAGGAGCACAGTGCTCAGCTCCTGGTGTCGCCTATGTTGCTGCTGTGAGCAGAGCCCTAGAGTCCTCTCTCCAGGTTGCTCTGTGCCAGTGTCTCCATCACGTGGCCAGAGTGGTTACTACTGCCAATGGACAGGGGGAGGGATGGAGATGCGTTCCTGGCAAACAGAGGGAAAGTGGAGGTAGCTGGAGACAAAGCAGTGAAGGTGTCATGACTCAGCTCTTGGCCTTGATATGACCTTGTTGCCAAAGACACAAAGCCTCCCAGTCACCAATGGGAACAGGCAGACTCAAGAGACGCAGGGACATACAGGCTCCACAAAAGCAAGGACACCCAAACAGCCACAAAGGGACAAGGCCTCAACCTCATGAGCCACCAAGAAAATGCAGCGTGAGGCCCAATGACACCCCGCCAACACGGAGAGGAGACAGCGCAGCCTCGCCTGCCATCGGTGGGAGCAAGCCAGGAACCCAGAAGCTTCCATCAAGGCTGGACACAGCTGCCTGCGCCCCACCCTGGGGAGCAGCAGCAGAGATGCGCACAGAAGTCCATGAGGGGACTCACAACGCTGCTCCTAACAGCCCACAGGGACACCATCCCACCTCCATCCTTGGGAAGACAGTGGACAAATCCACAGAGACAAAAAGTAGGTCTGTTCTTGGAATCTTCGGCAGGCATGAAGACGATGGAGCCAGGAGCATCTTGACACAGAGGAGTCAGAGTGAATAACGCAGCCAGACACCGTGTTCTGCCATTTACACGTGGCTCAGAACCAGGAAGCTACCACAGCATAGAAATCTAGGTGTGGGTGCCTGGGGGGGCAGGGCACTGGGAGGGGACTCGGAGTGCGGGTCATGATGTTCCTTTTGTGGAAACCCACTGAGCCGCCTGCTTCGGATCTGGGCACCCTTTTATACGTGTGCTCTACTTCAATAAGAGATCTTTAAACCTGGGAGGAAATGCCTTTCCTGAAATGTTTCTCATAACAACTTCTGGGTAGGAGAGTAATGACACTTTTTTTTTCCCCAGCTTCTTTTCAGCTTTGCAAGGAACAGCCTTACTTGATAATCAGGAAACAAAAGTCATGGTGAACTATAATTCCAGTAGCAACCAAGCTGGACCCACATCCTGGGACCACAACCCACTCATCTGGGGCTTTTGCTGTTGATACTTATGTGACCAATCTCCTCTTGCTGCCATCCGGCTGTGGCCAGCTTCCGGCTCCTCCTATCACCAAGGCTTATGAACAACACTGACCACCCTTACCCCAAGGAGAAGTGGGCTAAGGTTCTTTACATGCTGTCAATTTACCCTCAAGGAAGGTTTGTCAACAGGGACTCAAAGTCATATGCAATGGTCACAGCAGCACTTCAACCACCTCTGCAAGTCAGCAACACTAAACGTCACCAGCAGATGCATGGGTGAACAAGAACATGGCTATCCACACAATGGAATAGTAATTGGCCACGAAAAGGAGTGAAGAAGTCCTGATCCGTGCTGAACGGGGGTTCATATGAACCTAGACAATATGCTGCTGAGTGAAGGAAGCCAGACACCAAAGGCCACATCAGGTGTGACTCCATTAACACGACATGTCCAGAACAGGCAAAGCCATAGGGACAGAGAGCAGATCAGTGGTTGCCAAGGCTGGAGGAGGGGGATGGGGAATGACTGCTGATAGGCTTTCCTCTGGGGTGATGAGAATGTTCTGAAACTAGACAGAGGTGGTAGTTGCACAACATCATGAATATGCTAAACGGGATGGAATTGTTCACTTCAAAACGGTGGATTCTATGTTATGGGACTTTCACCTCAATTAAAAAACAACAGGGAAGGTCTGCTGTGCCCACCAAGGGACCCCACTCCCAGACATGAGTAAAGAAAGGGCTGGTTTCCAAAGGCCTGTGGGACAGACAAGTCCAGCCGAGGCCCCGCTCACCTGCCGCGCGATGTTCTGCACCAGCTTGTCCATGGTGAAGCCTATGTAGGCGTGGATAGTGAACATCTCGCGCAGCGTGTCCTCGTACTGCGTGGGGTCAATGCTCCCTTCTAGCAGGCTCCGCACCATGTCCAGGAAGGCCGGGTAATACTCCTCCAGCTCCACCTCACCTGGGAGGACGGAGAGAATCCACACGAGCCCAGCCGCAACACCGCAGAGCCCCAAGAAACCCCCCTGCAGGGCCTTCACTGAGGACCTGACATGCACACGGCCAGCACCGGATGAATCCGGAATGGCCAGGGAACACAAGCAGCCAGCGTTCACTGCCACCCTCCATTGAGGCAACCTAATCTACACACGTGGCTTGGCCAAATGACCAGGGATGGCAATAAGAGTAACACAGAGCTCGACCATGGTGGCTTTACGTGCCCAGGGAAGGCTGCTGAGAAACAGCTGTGCTGGCAGCATCGGGTAATGCCGGCTCCCTGGTCCTGACAGGGTGTTACACCTACAGCAGGAGCCACCACCACTGATAAGGGCACAGGGGAACCTCTGTACTCTGTGGGCAACTTCCCATCTGCAATTTCCCATCTGAAATAACATAATTACAGATTGAGCATCCCTACTCCAAAAGTCCAAAATCCGAAAAGCTGCAAACTCTGAAACTTTGTTTTTTTTTTTTTGTCTTTTCTGTGACCGGTAAGAGGATTGCAACCCTTGGTGTGGTGTTGCCCGCACTGCGCTCAGCCAGTGAGCGCGCCGGCCATTCCTATATAGGATCTGAACCCACGGCGGGAGCGCTGCTGTGCTCCCAGTGCTGCACTCTCCCGAGTGCGCCACGGGGCCGGCCCCTCTGAAACTTTTTAAGCACCAACATGACACTCAATGGTAACGCTCACTGGGGCACTTCAGATTTTTGGATTAGGGCTGCTCAGCCAGTAAGAACAATGCAAATATTCCCAAATCCAGAAAAAACCCCAAATTTAGATAACGAAAAGTCAGAAAGTAATGCAACAGGACATTTCTGGTCACAAGCTCTGACCCCAAGCCCCGGGCGCTGCGGTGGGAGCCTTACTCGGCTGCTTGAGTCGCAGCTCCATGGCGGGGTCACTGCCCTTTTCCCTGCGGCCCTCGCAGAGCAGCCTCTCCCTCTCCTTCTCGGTCCGGTACTCCAGGAGCTGCTTCTGCGCCTGGCGGTAGATCTTCAGGAGCCTCGAGCACAGGGTCTGGTGCAGACGCAGGAAGAAGTACCAATTGTTGTTGGCAAAGAAGAGGCTGTAGACATCGTCCAGGGGCTTGTGTGCCGGCGGTGGCGGTGGCTGCTCGGTGGCTGGTGTGTCCCCGAAGGGCCCCTTCTCTTCCGGGGGGCTGCTCTGTGGCCCCGGTGTTGGCTTCTTGCGCTCGCCAGGGTCCACGCTCTGCCCCTGGGGGCTGTCCCGGTCCTCGTCAGCTGACTCCTCGGACGCCCCCAGGTCCAGGTGCTGGGAGAAGAAGAGGCTGGGCACGAACTGGTGCAACAGCTGGTGGATGGTGCCCTGGTCCTCCTTCTGGATGGCTGGCTGCCGCTTCACATAGTAGCTGACCAGGGCTGCCGCATCCTCCAGGATCTGCCGGTCCTCATACACGAAGATCAGGTGTGGCTCACTGGAGGGCGCGCTCCGGCCCTCCGAGTGCTGCTCCTGGTGCTGTGGGGAGGACGCGGCAGCTTTAGGTGGAAACAACCCAGCGCCAAGAGGACCCTCACCCGTCCCCAAACTGCCAGGCCACCAGTGCAGACGTGCACTGCCCAGCAAGGGGCAACTACTGTTGGTGATACAGCAGGGTCTGGGGGACATGGATTGTTTGCCTCAACCTCTTGTATGGCCCCCTTATTCCCAGTCCCCTACCTAAAAGCTAGGCAGACACAAGTCACAGGACCCCAGATGGCAGAGCTGGGAGAATCCAAGATGGGGGGCCAAGGGCTGCAAGGGTTCCTAACACTGTCACTCTTAGGTCTGGGGTTCAGCCCAGTTCTGGGACCAGAACGGGGCCCGTGGCTCTCCACGGGGAAGCCTCCCATGAAGCCAACCTCCCACCACCAATGGCAGTGCCTAGAGGCCAGGGGAAACGGGGAGAACAGCGCCCCCAGGCCCCTGATGTCAGCTGACCCGGGGCTGCCCAGACCAAGCTCTGCTGGGGTCAGGGGGACACACAGCATCTTTCATTCACGGGTGCTCAACTGCACCCCAGAAGGCCTGCGACTGTTAACACCTAAAGCCCTCCCCTCCCTTGGCCCTCTGTACAAGTCCATCACCACAAGCTCCCACAGCCCCCACCTCTGTCCACTCCCCACCCAACTCCAGCCTTCCAGGGTCCCTGCCAGCATGTCACCAGCCCAGGCCTCCCACCTGCCCATACCCGTTCACCAGCCCACTCCAACCACTCTCCTCCCAGGGTCCAGGGTGATGTGGCCAACAGGAGCTTGGTCACCCTGCCTAAGTCCCTCCAGGTTCTTCCTGGCACTCAGAAGACCCTGGCCCCACCCTGCAGCCCCTCAGGCACCCCATGCTCCTCCCCGCAATGCTTTGCGGTGCCGAGTGGCCTCACACTGTGCGTGACGCCTTTGGACATGCTCATCTGTGCTTTCTCCCCAGAAAACCTTGTCCCCAGGCTCACCCCTCTCCTGGGTCTTTATCTCCAGATAATGACCCTTGTTCCCCCAAACCCAATGATAATCACTATTTCCTCCAGCCCTACCCCCAACAGTCTGTCCCAGACTCAGTGCCTCTCTGGGTGGCACCAGGCTCTTGGGGAAGGCGAAAGTGGACGCTGTCCCTGCAGGCGGGGAGCTCCTGAGAGTAGCGCCAGGTCTTCCTCAAGCTCTCAGCCACCAGCCTAGGTGGCGCACCGAGGGGCACCTCCAACATCTGCTGAATGAAAGGGGCTGCCATGCTGGCCCCCAGCCAGGGCCTCAGCTTTCTGGGGCATATTAAGTCATGTTTCTTCTCATCAAATGTTGCACTCCTTTGTTAGATGTGATTTTCCCCAGAAGCCCGAGATTTCCTTTCTCCTCACCTGCAGGGCAGCTTTCCGACTGCAGCCTAGGTCCCTGTTTCATTTATGCCACAAACACCCTCCAGAGTCTTTTAGAGTCCTCTTTGGAATTAGGTCCAATGTCTGTGATCCACACCGTGCTTTGCTGTCTCCATGGTGGAAGGAGGGACCTGCCAGGCTGTGTGGGCCAACTGTGCGCCTGAGCCCCCCACAGCCAGGAAAGGAGCTGGGGAACTCAGTAGCAACAAGGGTGGGTCTCGAGGACCACATCATCCTCCTCTACTTTGCAGATACCACCAACCTCACAGGGAGTCTTGGGCACCCAAAGACTGGAGTGAGGAAGGCAGACTGGCCGTGGGGTGGGCCCCTGCAGGGTGAGGGCAGCCCAAGGGGAGGGAGGCTGGAGGATGGAGGAGCCTCTGGGGCTGGCACCCTGGACAGTCTCCAGAGTCACCCAAGTTCTGGGTGGAGACAGCCTGCCGGGCTGTGTGTCACCCACAAGCTGGGAGGCCTCAGGCCAGCAGCCTGGCTCCTCTGCCCTTGACTTCTGACCGTGAGAAGAGGTACAACTGCTCACTGCGCAAAGTTAGGTGAGGAATACAGGAGAGGAGCAGGTGGGCACTCAGCTGAAGATGCAGCTCCCTTGGTGCCCACCATCCAGGGAGCAGTGTCCCCTCCCTGGCACCTCCTTGGAGCTCTGGCCGCCCTCCCCGACAACTGGCTGCTTCCGTGTCCAACGGCCGTCACCTTCCTGCCAAGCTTCCCACCTCAGGCTCCTGCACATGGGGAACTCCCACGCATGTTTCTGGAAAGGCCCAGCTCACCTCCATTCTGTAGTTCAGAACATGAACCTGAGCAGACCAAACCTGCCGAGACTACCCGGCGGGAGGCAGAGCCCCAGGGTCAGACAGATCCGACGACCCCGAACCCTGGTCTCCTGAGAACTGCCTTGGCCAGGGGCAACCTCTTGTGCCTCAGTTTCTCCAATGGTAAAATCAGGAGAATAATGGAACTGCATAGGAAGGTTTGTGAGCAAGGTCAGATGAGCTATTCCTTGTGAGGGCACTGACAGTGCCTGGCACGGTCATAGTCAGTGATAAGAGACGAAACCTGCTGTAACTGGTCACCTAAGCCAGAGTCCAGCCACTCCCATGGGGAGGGAAGGAGAAACCTTTCCTGACAACAGCAGAGTCACAGATCCTCTTGCTGGGCCAGACCAGGCTGGGTGCCAAAGGAACATTAACCCTCACCCAAACACAGCCCTGCAAGCGCAATGCCAGCAACCCCGCCTAACCACCAGTGAAGCAGACACATGGAGACCCAGCAACCTGCCTGCGGGCACCAGGACCTACCTAGTCAGCCCTAACCTTAGGCGGGGACACCTCACCTCATCATAGACGCTCTCGATCTCATTGAGCAGACTCTTAGAGCGCAGGGCCTTGGTGTCATTCTGCTTGAAGTTCACGGCCTGGTGGTCGAGGGACTTGAGGTACGCCTTCTCATACTGCTCCCGCCAGATCTTGTTGAAGCCCTGCTGGGCCTCCCGCCACTCCTCCTCCTTGGCTTTCAGCCTGTAGGGGTGGGAGGGGCTCAGTGCCAGGGACAACCCAGGGCACCCGCCCTGAAGCAGCCCTGCACAGGGCAAGCCTGTCTGCTTCCCGGACTGGACCACGGATGGCCAAAACTCAGGCCGGCCAGCTCCCCGTGTAGTCTATGCAGCAGGCTCTGTGCTGAGTCAAAGAGGGAAGGTGAAAGGACCCCCCCAGGTCCCAAGCACACCCCGGGCTCCCTCATTGGAATGTGAGCCCTGCAAGAGAAGTGACCACGCCTGCCTCCCTCAACTCGGCAACCCAGGGCCAAGCATGCCGCCTGTGCGACGGGAGCCACTTAACAAATACCTGTTTGCTAGTACAGTAAGTCCCTGAGATGTGCTATTAGGTGAAAAGCAAGCTACAGTACAGACCAGTCCCATTTGTGTCTCAGAGTAGCTCTTTACATGTCCGGGTGTGATTGTGTGCATGGCAGAGAGTCCTAGAAGGACACAGACAAACGTTCACAGTGCTCTCCTCTCAGGAGTGTAGCAGGGAGATGAGGGAAGACAGAAAACACGCCAGGGACCCCCCACTCCCAACAAGACCTGTGGACAAACAGCATTAATGAGCTCCCTGAGGGCTCCCTACGGCAGGGTGGAATGGCCGCCGCCAGAGGAGACCTTTTCAGGACGACTGGGACAGCAGTGACGGGGTTTTTCTTGAGGCTCTCAATGATCTCTGGGGCCTTGTCGCCGTAGATGCGGTGGATGGCGCGCCGCTGGATAACTTCCGACGTGCCCCCCAGGGAGTCATCCAGCCGGAACTTCTCCTGGTCTTCGGGTGCCATGCGTGAGAGTTTCTTCTGCACGCTTTCCAGCACCCGGATGGTGGCCAGGTTGGTCTCCAGGACGACATCTAACTATGGAAAGGAAGGTGGAAAGGGGTCAGTCGTCAGGGGGTGCAGGGGCCCCAGGTCCCGAGATGGTGCCACAGTTGAGACCCTGGGGCTGCCCACCATGGCATGAGCATCCATCAGCCAGAACAGTGGTGCCATTTGGAGAGAGAAATGTTCCCCAAGACTGACCCTCCTGCATGGCATCAAAAACACCATTATGCTCGGTGACACAGTCCCCAGTGACACTCTAGGGCACCATGCCGGAGGGGGGAAATCCATCCCAGAAGGTTACATACTGTGCAATCCCACTGATGTGACCTTGAAATGACAAAGTGACAGAGGAGGATGGGCCAGGCATTGCCAGGGGTTAGGGGCAGGGTGATGATGGGACAGAGGTGGGTACAGCTGTAAATCGGGGCAGTGAGGGACCTTGACTGTGTCAGTGGGTATGCAAAGCTGCAAAGGCGAGAGAACTGGACAGAATGACACACACACGCACATACGTACACACACGCAAGTATCAGCACACCTGGGGAGAGCTGAGTAAGACTGGTGGATTGTTTCGCTGTCAGTACCCTGGCTGTGACACTATGCCAGAGCTTTACAAGAGATGGTACCTCTGGGGGAGGGTGGGGAAGGGGACCCAGGACCTCTTCATGTTATATCTTATGCTGCATGTGACTCTACCACAATCTCAATAAAAATTTCAATGGAAAAAATTAATTTTAATGATCCAAACCCTTGACCTTGGCGTTACCAGTACCACATTCTCCCAAGTGAGCTAACCATCCAGCCCTAAAAACATTTTAAATGGAAGAAAAAAAAGGTGCTATCCTGCAGCCAACCCCGGACTGATGGAAACAGAACCCTTTCAGGAACTCCCTGCTGGAAAGTGCTAGAATCCCCATTCCTGCAAATAGACGGGAGGTGAAGGAAAATCAGGGTATATCCCCATGGTGGTGGACAGACTCACATCCAGGGGAGGTCACAGCCTGCCTGTGCCTCCCCACCACCCCAGCCACGACCATACAGCTGAGGAAGGCTTAGCAGTGCTGGCACGCGCACCTCAAAACGCTCGTCCTCACAGCGGTGCAGCTGCTCCTCGTAGGGCGTCTTCTTGGAGCTGACAAAGGTGGAGTCTTCTGACCAGGAGGGGAAGGAGACCCAGGTGTCATTCAGGACCTGCACCAAGAGGAAACGCCGTGACCGGCGTGGCAGAAGCCAGTAGCATAGAAGACACAAAGATAAGTAATATCATTCTGATCATGTTACAGGCAACTACCTTATCATACAAATAGTAAAATTTAGTGGGACAGGACTTTGGTCAAGTGAACACATTATACTACAGTCCCCTTCGGTGTCCCGGGGGATTGGTTCTAGGAACACCCCCTCGCCCATGGATACCAAAATCCTTGGATGTTCCAGTCCCCAATGTAAAACGGCATAGTATTTGCATATAATCTACACACACCCTCCTGTATATTTTAAATCATCTCTAGATTACTCATAGTACCTAACACAATGTAAATAATACATAAATAATTGTTAGACTGTATTTTTCCATTTGAAGTTTTTTAAATTGTTTTATTTATTTTTACTATTTTTGATCCATGGTTGGTTGAATCTGTGGATGAGGAAAACCCACAGACGTGGAGGGCTGACTATATTCCAGGGGTCTGCAGGCTTTTTCTATAAAGGGCCGGATGACAAATATCTCAGGTTTTGCAGGCCATCTGGGAGGAATACTCAGCTCTGCCTTTGTGGGGAGAAAGCAGCCACAGGCAGCATGAAAACAAAAGGATATGGCTGTGTGCTGATAAAACTGTACCCACAAACACAGGCAGCAGGCCAGGGCCCCTGGGCCATAGCTGCTGACCCCTAAAATCTAGCAGGTTCTCTTGAATTCTGGACATGAGCAACTGTCTGTCCATGAATGAGTACATGTCCTATGGGCAACCTAAACAGAAACACACTGAGGTCAGCAAAACTGGGACGGAACAGGATCACAGAGCAATAAACTTCAGTCTAACGACGGAGGAGTGAGCTGGTCTCCACAGTCAACGTGTGCTGTCTGCCAGACCTCCCAGGAGGGTCTGAAGCTGACATCCCTGCTCAGGCTGTGTGCGTTTGGCCACATCCTGGCACCAGCTATTATCTAACATTCCGGGGCTGAGCACTCAGTCTTCCAGCTGTAACATGGGGCACCAGGTGTGTATGTGTGTGTGTGTGTGTGGGGGGGTGCCACATGTGCCAGCACGCGAGCCCAGGGAGCGCTACCTCCTTGCAGATGGCCGTCCTCCCACTGCACTTGGGCTGCTGGTAGGTCTTGGGGAGTGCCCGGTAGCTGGAGCCGATGCGCTTGCAGGATGCGTAGTCGATTTCCCGGCTTATTCCGTCCCCGGATCTGTCGCTCATGGGTGGTGCAAACGATAGCTCTTTCACCCCCAGGAAGGATTTGAACTGTGCAAAGAGTTCTGGAAATTTTCTTCAAAGATAAAGAGAAATGGTAAGCCAGCATCCCTGGGGCCTTCTGAGAAGGATCGAGAGATTTCAGGATGGCTTTATGTGGACGCCCACAGTTACGGATAACCAGAATTCTTTTTTTTTTTTTTTTTGTCTTTTTTCGTGTCCGGCAACGGATCGCAACCCTCGGTGTACCGGACCGGGACCAGCAACGGGATCGCAACCCTCGGTGTTGCGCCCGCACCTCGCTCAGCCAGTGAGCGGGAACCGGTCTGTATGTAGGATCCGAACCCTCGGGAGCGTCGCCGCGCTCCCAAGCGGCGCACTGTAGCAGTGCGCCACCGGGCTGGCCCGGATAACCAGAGTTCAATGTCAGGGAGGGGGCTGAGAGGTGGAACGGAGCATTGAATTTGGATAAAGTCATCATGAGTGAATCTGTCTCCCACCCGTCACCAGTCAGGCCCCTTCCTGCAGCTACTGACCCCCAGCACTAGCAGGAAGACTTTGAGACACTGAAAAGATGACCTAAAAGGCAGAAGCTGGGGCTCCAGACTGTGGCAGCTGGAGCTTGGGATCAGTGACGTCCCTTGACTGGAAGGGGCAGAGCATTCGGCCAGGGGTTGGCAAACTATGGCCTATCTGCCCGCCTGTTTTTGTAAATAAAGTTTTATTGGTACACAGTCACATCCATTCATTACACGCTGCCCATGGCTGCTTTTGCACAAGAGCAGAGGTGAGTAATTTCCACACAAACCATCTGACTCTTTGCAGGTCAAGTCTGCCAAGTGACGATCCAGGGTCTTCCTCCCTCATGAGGAAGACTCCTCCCTGTCAGCCCCTCTGTGGACTCATTCTCATGATGTAACGACCATGCTTATCAACAGGGCTATTTTAATATAACTGACCCCCAATGTCACCTGGATTTCTGTTTAAAGCAGTATCAAATCCTACCAGAAAGGGTGTAGTTACTTGACTGCTGGTGCGGTGATCCTGCCGTGACCTAGCCAAGCAGCTCCCTCGGTAACTACGCCCCCCTCGGTGATATGGCCGTCCGCTGAGCCCCACCTGCAAGGACCCCACACCAACTCTGCTCATGAGGAAAACCCACAAGCAAACAGAAACGTAGGAAGGAAAGATATCAACAAAAACAGTGTAGAGGATGCCTGAGGTTACTGCTGGGAAAAACGTGAATCATGACTACTCTGAAGGGAACACTTAACCCGACCTGCCCTGACTCCAGCTGTGCACATCACCAAGTGCAGGTGGCAGCTCTCTGGACTGCTGTGCTCAGTTGCCCACCACACTGAAGCTCACACGTGCAAGGAAAGGCCTTGTGGAGGTGAATGTTCCTGAGCCACCTGGGCATCGTGTCAAGATGAGGGATCGCAGGCCTGCTTCATTCTGGGCTTTTCTCCGTACAGACCATCCCCCAACACCCTCCCTGCCTCCACAAATCTCTCACTCCTGCTGGAATGGCAAAAGGGCAATAGGTGATCCTGTTCGAGCACCACCTGTTTGCCCAGCACCTTGAGTTTCATATTCCTTCCTTCCTCTCCTTTAATCCCGACAAGCCCAGGAGGGAGTTATGGTCACTTCACAAAAGAAGAAACTGGTGCTCACTCTGCTGGTTGGAAGCAGAGCCCCGATTCCGACCCAGGCCCGACCATGTGCCCCCAGGCCCATATGCTGCACACCAGCTGTGCCTCCGTCCCCTGAAGACCCCTACCCACTACAGCAGTCCACCTCCTCAACAGCAATGCCCTGACCCCAGCCAGGAATCAGGCTCAGAGAGCACGAATTCTGAGCTCAGCAGAGGCACTTCCAAGTCGTACAAAAAGCCAGCGACATTCCCTCCTGCTCTGGGGTGTTCTTTAGAGCGTTTACATGTCTTTAGCAGCCCGGGAAATAAACCGAGTGAAAGGATCACCATACTGTGTGCATGCTATCGAGACCACCAGGGAAACACCTTCTGATGATCTCGGCTCCACCCGTATCACAGCCCAAGGAGTGTGATGTCAACGCCGGTTACATTCATCCTTAGAGACCCCACTAAGAGAATCTGGTACATACAGGTAGGGGAACACCATGCTGTCGCTACAAATGATGACATGGATTCACATTTAAGACTGAGAGACGGGCCGGCCCAGTGGCGCACTGGATAGTGCGCCGCTTGGGAAGCGCGGCGGCGCTCCCGCCCGAGGGTTCGGATCCCACATACAGACCGGTTCCCGCTCACTGGCTGAGCGAGGCGCGGGAGCGACACCGAGGGTTGCAATCCCGTTGCCGGTCCCCGGTCCGGTACGGGGGCAACACTGAGGGTTGCGATCCGTTGCCGGACACGGAAAAAGACAAAAGACAAAAGACAAAAAAAAAAAAAAAAAAAAAAAAACTGAGAGAA